TTAATTTATGAAGTAGTCCCAATTGTCCCTGGGATGTAATAGGGAAGAGTGTGGGTTTACGATCAGGGTATTTCACCTCATACATTTAAGGGGCCTATTATATTGAGCGTTGTGAGGCATAGTTGTGATTCTCTCTGTACGTTGGGGAGTTTGCGGGAGAGAAGCCAGTTTACAGGCATAATCAAAATGATGTTGGCAAAGAAATCTCCAGTAGTTGAGCTGCACTGAATGATACAGAAGGTATCGCATCAGGGTTTGTCACGGTATCAGAAGTGACTTCAGATTATAAAAAGAACAGATAAATATCACTTCACGGTACACATAGATTGTTTACGAGTTTCGGTCGTCTCCACTCACCATTCTTTTTCCACAACAAAGTGATACCAAGATCACATAATAACATGTGACCTAGATGGTTAACCTGGGGATATAGTTCTGTGTTTCGTCAGATAAACGTTTATTTTAGCATCACTTCGCATGTTTATAGTATCGTTGGCCAACGAAAACTCCCTTCATCGATTTCAGGCAACAGTAAGTATTAGCATAACCTTGTAATACACGTGAGTATATAAGTCCCCGCATCACCCACTCGTGGTGTGGCCTTACTCAGCAATACAGATGTAATCCATCAGAATCAGTTATTGCTGTACAAAGAAATAAAAATTTGAGGGACTACTATTCAAAGGTGATGGAGTTTTGAACATAGAATGGTACCACGGTCTCTGGGACCGTGGATGTCAATCAGGTATTTGACGGTGTAATGCCCATTCATTGGTACTCAAACTGGGCTCATATCGCCGATGCAACTGAATAGTTGCAAAAAGCATGCATCTTAGTGTTCTCTAAAGCTTTTGAAGTATACGTGGACCCACTACATAGTTGAGAAGTGCAAACGGAACCACTTGGCTCCGAACTTACCGTATTACTTTTTGCTGTTTTCCGCTGCATTTACAGATACAAAAGGGAATCCAGAGGCCTGGGTCTACGATCCCATCCGTATGATGGTTAGACAATCATTTTCGTTTCCGTTACAACGGAGTTGAGTTCGTTTTGAGTTAATTAAACACTATCCACAGCCGCAAATGTGGCTTTGAATCTATGAAGGCGGATCGTAATTTTAGAGGGCTAAGTATTGAAGAGAAGGAAGATGTACGTCCTTCAATACAAAGCTGAACTGATGTTGACGAAGTAATTGAATACCTCGAAGACGAATTTCAGGAGATTGTCACTGGTAGCGATATCCACAAACTAAGAAACCCAATGATTCTGAGTAGGTTGTAGTTCCACATGGAGTTCAAAAGAAACACCTTTTAGTTACAACGGATTGCATCAGATGTGAAGACATTAACTGCCAAGATTTAGACACTTCTACCGATATTAGAAGATTTACACGCAACAAAAAGGTATGTATACCTGATATTCATGCAATGAGGAAAACTCATCATCTTGAACTTACCTTCAATTCCAAGTTGAGAAATATGTACACTTCAGGACATAATCCTCCAGAAGCCATCATAACTCCAGGTCTACCAATGCCTCCACACATCGTGAATTTGTTGTAAACGCAAATATGGCTCCACGATTCCTACAAAGTTGGCATACTTCTTACATTAGCCTGCACATCGCGTCCCCGACGCTGGTTTGGCGTGAATCAAATTAAAACATTGCATTTCATACTTTCCCCAACAAAATGAAGTTTAACATAACAAAATATTTTCAACCATTACTACTGCACGCTTATCTTCCACTCTAAAAACATTAATAACACTTACGTACTGGCTAAACATAACTGCATGACGCGAGCCAACGGATAACAATTGTGGAGCAGTCATCATTCGTGTGGTGAATTTCTTTAACAAGCACTTTTCGCGAAAAGTGGCACGAGAAGATGCTTTACAAGTTGAAAATACCTACAAAAAACTAAATTACCTGTTATTCCAACATAAAAACAATGAAGATAAACACACTGTCGTTGCTGGGTGGCCTTTAAAGTCAGTGGAGAACTACTGAAAGTGTGGAATTGCTTCAGAACAAAAGGAATGAGCGCAGAGAAAGTGACTTGTATCACCTGACTAATGAAAGATATTTGATATTTAGAAGTGCTACTCATATAGTGACGTGTTTCGCTCGTCTCTCAGCTTTTGGATTTTTCCACAATGAAAAACTCCCACTTGCAATACTCAATCTAAAAACATCGAACGTTTGCAGCACTTCTGTCCGTCCACGCACCTCACCCCTGCGCATTCGTCAGCTCACTCCTCAACAGTTGAAAATTGGCATTATTATTCCTTTGAACCAACCGGTCTACCTCCTGTCAGTGGTTCTTGGGCGTTTCAGCTGCCAAACTGCCTTAGCTCTCGGTTCTCCTCGGAGGTCATTCCCCAGGAAATATCTTTCCTGGTTATACATACGCATCTGGAGCTTACGGTTAAACTCGTTGGTCAAGAGCAGAGGATCAAGTGACAAGTGTCTGAAGGTGAGCCAACATAAATTATCTTCCCTTTTCTATTCTGTCCTTTTGCTGCATTCAGTCTTCAACCCTCTTATTGTTGTTAACTACTTGTTTTCCCAAGAAGTTTATATCATAGCGACATGTCTGCCCAAAACGCTAGGTCTGAAGCTTTGACACGGATAACGCGGTCGTGCACAACAACGGCCAGTAACACCCTAAACAACACACTAGTCTGTACTAGAAGACAAACAGAGGTAGGGCAGAACACCGAACTTCTGAAGAAGTGGCCAACCCATGTTTCTAGAATTCCAGTCGCCATCAGACAGGTGACACAGAGAAGCACTAGCCCGTCACAAACTAGTCCTATCTTGAGCAAGGATCATACCATGCCTGAAATAGAAGACGACGTAAAAGGCTTCAGAACAAGGCAGCCACAAGCAGTTCGCCACAATCCGTAGCACCTTATTCATGGAAGGAAGGCTGTATTACGACACCCGATGGCTGCAGTGTTTGCACCAAAGTTGTTTCGGTAGTCGATGAGGCATTTGCATGCAACCTGTGTCAACGATGGGCGCATTGCCACTGCGATACCAAAGTCCCCCGACAATACTATAAGCTGATGAAGAGACAACCATGCAAGTGGTTCTGGTACATCTGTCCAGAGTGCAGGAAAATGCCCGCACTCCGCACAGAAAGCCTGAAGGAGATGCTCTCCGCCACGCAAAAGCTACCAGCATCCCCGAATAAGTAGGGTTAACACCAAAGGATAACACAGAGAGACCTGGAAACAGACCTAGAGCTCCAGCTGTGGGCACGCCATCTCGCGTGGGGACCATATTAGGTCAAGTCTCCATACCCCCACCCGGCCCCAGGGGACGTCAAGCGCATGGCCAAAGACATCGACCGCCGAAGCCTCTACGAAACCCATTCCGAACACCCCACACACCGTGACTGAGAAACAACCAGTGGAATTACTCAAACCCATTGGTAAGTCGGGCGTGCCACCCACAACGAACCCAGGTCACAGGAGGACCAACTCGATCATTTTGTTCAACGTCGATGTATCGACAGACTCATTGTTGGTCGAGAGGGAACAATTTGACAGCCGAATGTGGACCGACTACTGTCAGATGCTGGGACTCCCTCCCCTCCCTGCAACTTTGTGTCGCCTTTCTCGAGGAAGCCATGCACCCCGAGATAAGCCACCCCCTTTACGTGTGTCCCTAAATACCGCCAAAGAGGCTGAAGACACACTCCTCCTCTCGCGACAACCGGACGTTGTTAATGCCTGTAAAATTCGGGCCAGGCCTGACAAGCCATGGTCAGTAAGAGAGGAGGAGAGAAAGTCAGCGGTTGGAAATCCCAACAGAAACAACACTATAGTTGTACATGGGATTCCAGAATTGCCAAGTGACAGCTCGGTCAAAGATCGGTACTTTCACGACGTCCAACAATGGCAATGGCTCTCAACCAAAGTTGGTCTCAACAGTATACCGGCCAACAGCGTCAGTAGACTGCCAAGGCCAGCGCACCTGAAGACCATACCCAATCCCAGACTACTTGCCGTCCAGTTCGACTCATATGCCTCCCTCACAGACGTTCTGCACGCATGGTATAATGCGAAAGATCGCATGGGTGGCTCAATACGTATATGTGAAAGTAAGCCTAGACCCACAAGGCAAGAGGAGAGACGGCAACCACCAAGACCTCTGGAGTCAGTGGTCGTCACACAGGCGCTGACCAGTGAGTTAGATACATCAAGTAAAGAAGCCACCACTGCTACAGCCCCCACCCAAGTTAAGAACAAAACACAAAAAAACGGAACAATGCCAGTCCTATGAGGACTGGCGAGGCTAAATTCAACCACGTAAGCGCTCATCCCGCGAAAATACACATCCAGACCTCCCCTCTCATCAGGTACACTCTAATATGTATGTACAGCAACGTTAGGGGGCTAATAGGGAAGGTAGCAAAAATGAGGACGCTGCGTGAACATCAGCACTCCGACATCATATTCATCACCGAATCCTGGCTCTCATCGGACATCTCCGACGAAGAGATGCGTGTTGCTGGCATGGAACTCTTCCGCAGGGACAGGGAACATAGAGCAGGAGGGGGAGTGGCTATCTACGCAAACTCCTGTTTAAAGGCAAGGATGGTTAGCGATACGGCCTTAACCCAGCTCCCAGAGTCTCTATGGTGCTACTTCACTCTCTTCTTTATTCTCTCTTCATTCCTTTACCACTACCTTACTATTCTCTTCCAGGTACCTACACAGACAGGAGTCATGGCAGTTCTCTAAACTTCCCAGCAACCCGTAGCTCCCTAATCACTCTACAAATTACAACCTACTAACCCACAAAACATCCACCTCACCGAAGCTAAAAGCAAGAAAGCAGAGGGGATTTCCTCGTCCACTGCAGGAGTAAACCGAACAACTGGAACCAAGCCCTAAGAACTAGACGCGAGAGATCAAAAACTACTAGTTTTCTACGCTCGCACTATCAATATTGGATATTGGATATGTTCAAGGTCAGTCTGCTGTCCTGTCCTGTCCGTCAAGGCAAAGCGCCTGCTTCATTGTTCTGAGTTGTAGGTACGTTTGAATATTCTTTCTGATCTGCAGCTCACGCCGTTGTTTCTGATGTCTTTTTTATCTTTTAGACTATGCTCATCTGCCGAAGAGCTATCCTCGTTCTTTGTTGACAGAGTATTAATGACTTTGATGCTGAATATTCAGCTAGGTTTGATAGTCTGGCCAAATAAGGCGTCGTTTGGCCCAGCATTGGTCTATAAATCTGATAGAGGGCCAGATTTCGTGCATATAGGTTCGAAATTTGAGCCACTGTTTTGGTCGGGCCAAACTTAGGGTCAATCGGGCTAATTGTAGGGCCAACTAACAGTGCGTGGAGACAACGTCATGCCATTTGTAAAAATTTCGGGTTAGACGTAGGGCCAGATATACCATACTTGGTGTGAAATGCAGGGACAGATGAAGGAAACATGTTTTAAAGCCGTACACCTGCCCATACATTCTGCCCGATATTTAATATAGTGACCAGCCCAACGTTGCCCTGTTTAACCCCGGTGACTGAGAGACTGTCGAAAAAATTATGTTTTCGTCAGGGCTTATAGCAACAGAACGTTTTAAGATGACTGTACGTGCTCGAACTATGATGAAAATAATCCTAGCCTGTAAACGTTCGTCGTATTTTGGGACTCGCTTTTATAGGACTAAGTTTTCCAGAAAAACTAGAACTTCTTTCTTAACTTTTCAGTATTTTCTCGTTGCACATAAACGTCTCTAGCACCCCCCCTCAGAGTGCTTTAAAATTGCGAAGTAGGTCTAGACTACCCAGCCGGCATTTACTTCGGATGTACGTTGGGAGTTTTTGATAGAAGCCCCAAAAGAATCGAAATGCACCTAGGGAAGTGAAGTATCCCTCCTGAAAAACAACTTCCCCCTGGGATTTTCGAACGCTCCTATGTGAGTCCGAATTTCGTCCCGAAAATGTCAAAAGTCTCGGCAGTGAGGATTGTGAGGATTGACCTCCAATTATATGATCGTATTTCCGAATTTTATTCCATATGGCATTCTTTTTTGGAATGGAGCGCGTTTGGCAACCTTAAACCCTCACAATGCAAGATTTTTCAAATAAGGTAACGGACAACTTTGGGGACCTCCCCAATGTTCCTAAGTGCGCTCGAAGTATTTTTTGGGATGATGTCCGAAGTTTCCAAATCTCTCCAAAGCCTAATGTTGGGTGATCCTATCACTCGAAAGTCCCACAAAGCACTTTCATTTCACAAATATTGACTGGATTATTACTACGCCTGCGTAGTGCAGTGTCTGTTACAGAACCGAAATTATCTATGGGGATAGAGTTTCACTTATAAAGTTTACATCGAAATCTCTAGTCCCGAATCCACATAGATCACTTCAGGGGAAGTCTTCTTATTCTCTCCTTCTCCGAATTCTCACCGTTTTCGAGTGTTTGTAACTACCATAATGTAAGGTTGTACGTACTGTAAAGATGAGAATACGTCAGTAAGTCTTTAACAGGACTAATATACCTGAAACAATAATCTAAAATAAGATGGTTCATTTTAAGTTTTTCCCCAAACCTTTGTCCAACTTATCTGAGCCCAATATATTACAATCAAATGATCAGATAGGAATTGGTATCAAAAGTACATCTGCACACCCAGAAGCACAAAAGTTATGATGTTCAAATAAAATATGAAAATTCCAAAGTCCGTATATAACTTTCTCGTCAGTAATCAAACCTTTTGCACCGGAAATACTATGTTTAGTTATCTGTTTATTCACTGTAATGGATTACTCTCACGTTTATCTCTGTTTCACTCAACTTCTTACTGTTATCTGAAGTTATAATCTCTCTCAATCGTTTTTAGTCACCGCACAGTCGCTGCGACAGAGCTGTCATCTAGTGCAGTGTCGCACCTGACTTTCCAAAAGCACACGTTACTCGATTTTTCCACCTTCAACTTTCACAGTAACCAAAAGGCAGGTCTAACTAGGACTGGAAGGTTTCTTACTGGTGTATGTTGTATCTCTTATGACTACATGCAAGATTATGGTCAGGATCACTCCATTATCCATACTTCGGACCTTGCTTCACCTGCTGAGACTTATGTAGCCAAGTGGTATCAATCGTTCCCTAAAAGTGTAGTCTATCGTCTAGTGCGTGAACATATCGCTACTTTTACATTATAATATACACAATCTTCGAAAGGCTGTTTAATTTATTCATTTCTTAGTTATGTGCACCTATCTGCAGACTGACTTCGGTGTCGCACATCGCTGGCTTCGTTATTATGCTCTCAGGTCGATTATATAGTACTCGCCCAAATCCCTATCAACAGTCATCTTCGAACTGTTAGGCTGAAGAAACGATAACTCTTCTTCATTACTATTTATACTCCTATAGGTTGGATCCTGAATCCAACTGAAAACAAGTCCTGCAGTCAAACAAACGACCTCATTAGTGTTAACAGAAAAATTAAATTGTTTAGTGTGTGATAAGCTCGTCTTGCGTTTTGGTGGTCATCAGGCTGGTATAGCAGACTGAAAGTGTTCCACTCCGGAATGAAGCCACTGTTGTGCCCTTTAAAAAAGGCCTACGTGATGTATATGACAATCACCAGGGTATTAGTCTGTTACCGGTTGCGTCGAAAATATTGGCTGCTACCATATTTCGTAGACTTCGCAAGAAGCAGACCGGGTTTCGTTCAGGTTGTAGATGCAGTGATCATGTGTTCACCCTCCACCAGATGCTCGAACATCGCCACACGTATTGCAGGCCAACAGTTGTCGTGTTTCTTGACATTAGAGCTGCCTTCGATTCTTTGGACAAAACTGTACCCTGGAATTGTCTGTTAGAGAGGAGCGTGCCTGGGAAATTCATTAGCATCTTGAAAGCCCTGTATAATAACAACATCTCAGGTAGAGTAAGGGCATACAACCACCTGTATCTGTTGTTCCAAACTGGCAGTGGGGTTAGGCAGGGTTGCCTGGTTTCTCTGTTCCTCTTTAACTTTGTCATCGACGACATTCTTGGGACAGCTCTGAAGGAAGGGCATGTTTGTGGTGTAGATCTACTGCCTGAGGAACTGCCATTCGACCTTGAATATGTGAGCCATATCGTCTTAATATGCTGCGACACACAAGCTATTCAGATCGCACTTAGTCGGTTGGCGATTAGTGTCAGTAATTGTGTACTTTTCACCATTGAAGTGCAAAATACGCATGTCTTCCTAACGGCTTCCACATCGTTCATTGTTTGCTAGTCCTGGGACTGGATGGAAGAAGCGGATGGGCGGTCAGTGTATGACGGCACCGTGGGGTGAAGGATAGTTGTATCGGGGTAGCATCTGTTGTTCCATCATGACTCCATGGGTGGGGTCCGAGAGGTTACACTACTCAGTGGCCTAAGATACGGCTGAGAATCGAAACCAGTAGTGGTCATGCTATGGCTTCCTTCTCTCCGGCTACTGAAAAGCAATGAACTTTTTTTTCTAATGGACCTTACCGAACTGCCCTTCTAATCATGCTATTCTTGTTTTCCTTTCTTACTTATTGACTTCCCATCATTTGTGTCTCCATAATGTTGTTATGCTACTTTATGTGGCGCATTTCTTAGTGCTTTTTCTGTACCATGTTTTTATCATGATAATAATAATAGTAAGAATAGCCGAACACTGACAGTATCTCCTGACTTGAAGACGGCACACCTCTCGATCAGGAAGTATGATGTCATTGTCTTCGACTGTGAGGAGTGACTGATAAGTGTATCGCCTTACTACAGACATTACTTAAACAATCATTTCAGACTATACGATGAGATATTTTTTGATTTGGTGTCTGTTAAAGATATCGACTCTGTTTGTATTTGACTGTATCATGTATGTTCTACGGGTTATTTTGTTTTCAGCACTTTTCACGTACGGTAGAACCACCATGTGAGCAATATCAAGTTAAGGTCAAGGGTGCTAAACGAGGAAAGCAAGTCATTCGATGAGGTGAACCTTTACCATATAAGTTGGCTGGGCACTTGCTGTGCAGGCTAATCCACAGCCTACCTTGGTGTGTAGTGTTAGCTGGAATATCATTGAGCTGAAGGGTGGTTCAGGGTGACCAAACTAAGTAGCGGCATCAACCCATGATGCCTTTGATTTTTGATCTGAGCCGTGGAGGGAGGTGTAGACTACCGGATTTCAGTCCTCAAGACGATAGAAATCAATGGTTGGAGAATGTTGGTGACATGACTAGAAATCGGTCACAATCATGCAAATATTAACTCTTTGATGTCTTCTCAATTCGAAACATTTTCACAGACCTTCGTTTTTCGAAGTCTTTCTTTTCCCGACTGACGGCTGTTAAAAATACTTTTACATAACTAGTTGAGTAATTAGAAACCACTCAAGCTGATCTGTAGATTTCTTTAGCCAGATAAGTGATCTAAATGCTGGACGGTTGTGTCGCTCGTTGGGGACAGTTTATCGGGTTGTACCCGGATGAATTCATTTCGTAGATCCGAATTAGTTCATATCACTTTGTTGACACAGGCAGTTGGAAGACTACTTAGCTATGAGAAATGTCAACGTAGACGGTGCAGTTTGTGAATCGCTTTGCAGATTGATCATCCTACTATAACTACTACTTTGACGTGGTGGTCGAGCTTGTATATCACAATGACCCGATGAACGATATTTCTGGAACGCTTGTTCCCTCTAGGTTCTACGTTATCAGAAAGATCCGTTGGATAGCGGTAAGAGGGAAAGCGGTTGTTGTTATAGGGGTGTGACATCAGTAAGGTGTTCTTTGCAGATGACCGGCAATACCATACTCCTACTGCCTTCCCGGTGGGAAGGGGGAGGGGGTTAGAAAAAGCCGGGTCCCCAAAACAGAACACCTCCCTCCCATGTGGCTTTTCGGCACCAGCTGTACTGGTTTTTCTTATCCGGTGTTGGAGCAACCAAGTCGCGAATCAACAATTCTCAAAAGGCTGTTTCAAATCTGAAACAATGCAAGGCATTAGGACCTGACAGTTTGCCATCAGAAGTTCTTAAGGATGAAGGTAGGAAGTTATTGAGTAGAGTAATAGAGGTACTATGTAGTGTTTGGGAATCAGGGGTAGTCCCGTCACTGGTCTACTTCACCGATCATTTCAGTGTGTATAAGAAAGGAGAGAAGTCGTCCTGTGACATTCAAAGGGGAATCAGTTCGACTCACATATATCCAAGATCCTTGGATCGATAGTTATCCGAGGTCTAACTGGAACTCAAGAACAGCAAACTCAAGAAAATCAGGCAGACCTAGATGAGAGTGTGCCAAACTAATTTTTACCCTTCGACAGACTCCTAAAGACAGGTATATTTACCGGCGGCTGACACTCATTATATTTCTTGACCAGAAGATGACATCCAACTCTGTCGACTGTAAAGTGTTGTAGCAGTGACTGACTATGAAAGGAGTACCGAGCAAGTACATAGCACCAGTCAAAACTCTACTGGAACTCATGTGGCCATGTTGTCATCAGAACTGATGACAACTAAGAGTGTCCTCCAAGAATACCCGCTGCTATCGATCCTGTTTCATTTCTCCATATATGTTGTAATGGACATAGCCTTAGCTACTTTAAACTTTACAGAGACTAATCTATTCCCTGGAAGTCATGTGGTTAAATTAGAGTATGCAGAAGATATTGTCCTGATAGGTGAAGACACTGACTCAATGCATGGTCTTTTGAACACATTGAGCAGAAATGTGAGTATTTTGGTATGTATCTCGCACCTGTAAAGTGTAAGGTAATGCTCGAAGACTGATCTACAACCACTCCGGGTTTAATGATGGAAAGTGAAGTGGTGGAATTTTTTGACCACTTCACTTACTTGATGAGTTGCATCAGCTTGAACGGTCTGGTTGCTGACGAAATCTCAGCTTGGTTACAGAAGGCTCGTTTGGCATTTGCCGACTTGCATCATCTGTGGCGCCAACTGGTGAGATGTCTGACTATTTGTTAAAGGTTTGGTATACTGCACTGCAATTTACCCCGTCTTATACGTCTGTGAGACATTGTTGTTGAAAATATAAGATATGAAGTGGTTGCAAGGTGTTTTGAAGCATTGCTTGCATTTGGTAGAATCACCGCGTGAGCAATGTTGAGGTCAGGCGCAACTTTACCGGCCAAGGAAGGGAAGGCAGTCGATGAGGTCGTGAATGTTGATCATCTGAGGCCGCTTAGAAATGTGTTGCGCGTGTCGAGTCACCACCTATCTCGATGTGTATTGTTAGCTGAAGTATGATTGAAATGGTAGACGGCTTTGGGTGGCCAAACCAAGACATGGCATCCATTCATGAAACATTTTATTGTTAGTTTGAGCCTTGTAGGGAGATGTAAACTACCTGGATGGGGTCACTTAAATGTTCGGAATCAGCGGTTGGGGACTCTTCGTTCCACGGCTAAAAACCAGTAATACTGGTACATATGTATTCACTCTTTGACGTTTTCCTGAGGATGGATATATTCACTATCCTTCATTTTCAAATTTACGCTCCTGCCGTACACCTTTGTCTACTTTAATATGTCTTTTTCTATCCATCTGCTGTGACAACTTAAACTGATGCACTCGTGTGCAACGTTCTACGTTGATTTTGTGCATGACTCATGATGTCAATAATTTTATTCTGTGGTTTCTGTTGTTGGCTTTCCCCATATTTGCTGATGCCAGGTGTTGCAACTCTTTTTTGTGTATCCCTTGTTTTGTGCGCCAGTCAGTGAGTCATTTAACAACACAGAATCTTGTGGCTGATCGACCTAAGCACGCTTTTCAAGCAGCGGATCACATGCTCAAGCCCTGTATCATGTGCATCAACCTGAGAAACCAGATAGTATTCTTAGCCGTCAAACTATTTGTGTAACTAAAAGCTTAGTAGTACATCAACGTGTACATTAAAGCTAAGTGACATTACCTTGAGACAGAACCTAGCAGTGGTATTGACAGAGTTAGAGTAAATAATGCAGTATACTTCTGATACAGGGCTTGTTCTGTGTTGAATTCTACTTCAATGTCCTCGTTATGGGACATTTTGACTGTGGGGAAAACTTGACACTCGCTGTTATTCATCTTTCTATGATGCCAAAGTTACGGAGATATTACTCAAATTTCAATTGTTAAATTACAGTCACTATCGAACCGGCGATGCATTTATACTTACTTATGCCACTTTTTAGTTCACATCAGTTTTGGTTGTCACAGGAATTTACAAAAAGTGTTTGTAGGAAAAAAACGAAGCGAATATTTTTTGGAGTTATGAAATGAACGGCAGCATATATAGTAAAGAACAATTAAACGACATTACTACAACTGAATTTTTTTTCAAAGAGCCTGACAGTTTTGCGACAAGAATTTTTTCGAATATAGTGAAGTATTTTTCTGAAAATGAAATGTTATAGGACTGGATGCAGGAAATAAGATTGGTACTAGATTTAAACGGAAAAAGGGGTGATGAATCAAGAACTTTGTGGCGGTGACTAAGAAATATACTTATGATGTACATAATAACCTTATCTCATCATGTGAATATCAGTCACTTTATTGGTCTAAACAAAACTGACTTATATCTTCCAATAAATTTCATTCCACTCTGTAGATAACTTTGAACACCATTTTTCCAGTAATATACTAACCAGTACTGACAAAACGTTTGATTTTTGTGGTTCTCACTAATCAAAACACTTAATCCCACTCAATGTGGCGCGTTTTTGCACTAGGCTTTGAGCCGCGCTTATTGTATGAGAGCTGATGATACTATGCGGTTTTCCAGACCGAAACAGGTGAAGTGAGATTCGAGTCCAGGAACGACTGTTTAAAAGCTGAGTGTACAAGCCAACGAGCCACTTAAGTGGTGGTTCTCATAGATAGTACAAAGTTGCTCACTGCTAGGTAAGAATGTCGTAAAGATTGTCAGAAAATGTTCACTAAACATGCTCAAACAGTAACAAATGAACTCCTAAATGCTTATAGAAGTTGTCAATGACGAAAGTATATCATCTGGATCGTTTGAAGAAAAATATGCTGAATTCTGTGTTAAAGTTTGATGCGAACAACGTTCTCATAACTTTCTATGACTTTCAATCACACTTTGTCTCAGTTTCTCTATCTCTCATCTTGCAATGGTGATATGGTGTGTGGCAGCTGGTACTATTACTCAACCGTCCAGGTCCGCCGTTGATACTAACTTAGACAGTAATGTTTCTTAGTTGTTTCTTTTCACGTATGTTCATAAAAGTTAAGCGCGAAATAAAACTCAACCCAGATTATTTTAAAAAATTTACACAGATATTTTTTGGCCATCGTTAAACCAACCAGAGTACAATGCATTTACCATGTTCACTTCAAATAAGATCATTAAAGGCGTATTCATGTTTTCAACCGTTTTTCGCAAGATTTTTGGTTTGCTCGCCTATTTTTTAATAATCTTCAATAGTCATCTCATATTAAATCAGAGGTTGTCGATGGTGAAGTACAAATTTTGACACTAAACCATCCTGAAAGCGCCAATTCACTCTCGTTAACCTTGATGAAAGATCTTCTCCATGCTTTAGAATCAATTAAGTCGTCCCAGAGTATTCGAGCTTTAGTGATTACTGGTGAAGGAAGATTTTTTTCGGCGGGACATAACCTTAAGGAAATTGTTCAACTATCTGATGCCAATTCGAAAGAAGTCTTCTGTATCGCGCTACAGGTAAGTCTGTCTATATTCTTTCCTCTTGAACTTTAATTCTGGATTTGGTGATATACTTTTCAATCTATCCAGTCTAAAACTAAACGTAATTTAGCACCAGCCCGACAAGATGTATGCGATTGATAGGTACGACGACAAAAAACCTTACGTGAAAGTGTCCCGGATCTAGTTTCAGACCATTTATGTGTGATAAAGATGAATGTAATGGAATATTCCAACCTTAAAGAATAAAGCGTGGGTGCATTTGAGCCATTGCGATTACGACCACTGTTGTAATACTTCTTCGCACCCACTTGTACTCTAACAAGTACTATGTGTCAAAGTAAGCGGTGACCCAGCATGCGCAACAACATCAACTTCTGAATTATCTTTCTTTCTAGAGCAGTGCGTCTAAACTCAATTGTGCGTACTCGGAGGTCCCATTATAGTTGAGTTATTCTGCATAGATTTCATCAAATAAGTGTAATCTTATTTATTGATCACTTCGATAATCACATCTCTCAGCAGTAGAATATGATAAAGCAAACTACTATACAGTAAACTCCTTGTTCTGTAGACAGTCTATTATGTCGTTGCTGCTGTGGATCGTTTTAGATAGCAACCGTTAAACCATTCCTATTTATCTGCGTTAAGGTTTTGTCAGTTTACAGTTGCATAACATGACAGTGAACTGCAGCGCTTTATGAATCTGATGTTCAGCTTTCAGGTAGAAATAGTGACATTTGTCATTCATCTATGGTGCCATAGAAAACAAAGATGGATTGAATTCTAGTGAGTGTTTTAATAAATATAGGCAAGGAAGGAAAGTCAGTCGATGAGGGTGTGAATCCTCACTAAATGAGATGGCTGAGCATGTGCTGTGTAGACCGAGCCACCGCCTACCTCGATGTATAATGTTAGCTGAAGTGTGATTGGTTTGAAAGAAAGGCTCAGGGTTACCAAACCAAGACATGACATCAGTCCATGATGCCTTTAACTTTTGTGTGCTCCGTGTAGGGAGGTGTAGGCTACCTGCTTGTGGTCCTTGAGCCGAGAGGAATCAATGGTTGGAGGATGTTGGTGACGTGTCTGGAAATCGGTCACGGTGACTCAGATATATACATTCATTGCGTCTACGAGTTCTTGAATATTTTCATCAACCTTCAGCCGTTTCTTCTCTCTCTCTCCCCTCCCTCTCTTCCTCTCTCTTATCATACACTTTTGTTAAGATGCTGTTGATGATGATACTAATCTTCAGTTTTTCTACTCACTTCACAAGTTCCCCCCCCCAGCTATTCCAAGAAATTAATTTCTGCATAGCTTAACAAACAAACTATCTATTGTAGATATATAGGTGACATATTTTGCTAGGCTGTAGTGTAATTAATTGTGATGTCCTTCTTGTTACTTTTAACAGTAACCACTCGGGAACGAAGTGTTGTAGTACGGTGCTGCTGATGTAAGGCTTTTGAAGAAAATAGGTTACAGTATTTATTGAGCATGTTATTTACAGTAATGGAAAAAGATGTAAACTTACTGTCTTTCATCTGAAGCTAAAATATTTGCATAGATCGTACTCTAGAAGATGGAATGAAAACAAGAAAAAACGTTATATGCAAAAATATTCTACCAACGTAATATCTAAGAATTACTACAATCAATGAAAGTAGCTTGACAAGTGAGCTTACGACTAATGCTTAAGAAATAGTTGTTTATAATTCTGCCCTCCACACTTCTGTATTAACTGTCAATCATAGGTTCGAAGGTTACTCCATCAAATAAAGTTTGAACAGTCAATTAGTATTATTAGATGGCACACAGCAGATTTAACCCATTACCTATTACTGACAAATCGTTTTGGTCTAAGTGATGACTAGGCATCCATGATCATTTCAATTGTTACAGCAAAATATAACGAGATATTTTCATTATTTAAGCTATAAGCTCTGTTTGGAGGGAGGGGGGGGGGGTTGAAATGTCTTTTTACAGGTATTTCATTACTTCAACTGCAGTTATTCTACGTTAAAGTTGTACGCTATCAAAGGAGGTAGACTGAAGTAGGTATCCAAGTAGTTTACTGCATTTGGTCTGAAATCGACGTGAATATAGACCAGTCCTGCAGCGCCATTACATATGCTATACTGGTGAGAAACACTAGTTAATATCAAAGTTGATGTCATAATGTTCAAACTACTGTATATATTATCCACACCACGTAAAAATTTGCTGTTTGTGTATTCTAATACCGATCAAGTACAACACAAGTCCTTAAGAAGTTATGAGAAGTAGTTACCCTCAAAAATACATCAATAAATAAATTGTCATTTTGACTGTCTGAGATAGCAACCGTGGTTTGGTAGACTAGTATTGATACTGAGTGGTGATCAAAGGTGAAATCAAAATTTAGACCACGTCTGGGTTCGAACTAGCCACCACCTGGTTTCCGGCTCGATGCTCTACCGACTGACCTACGAGGTCCAACTGTTGAGCAGATTTTTATTTCACTTCAATCACAAGCAGGGTTTTGCCCGACTACCATGTTAATTCGTGACGCCTTACTACTGCTTGATCATATTCACACTGGTCGCCTAGTCAGGACTTCTCATCCCAATTTTTATTTCACCTTCAATTGGCAGACTAGTAAGTCTGCCAAACCACGGCCATCTCAGATAGACAAAGTGGATAATCAATATGATGCTTCCCCTCTCTAATTCAGTTAGATTTAGATTGGGATGAATAGTTCTGACTAGCCAGCCAATGTGAATACGACCAAGAGGTAGTAACGCATCATGAATTCACATGATAATCGAGCAAAAATCCTTGGTGACTGAAGTCAAATAAAAATCTGATCAGCGGTCGGATCTCGTAGGTCAGTTGGTAGAGCATCTGCCGGGAAACCCGGTAGTCGCTGGTTCGAATTAGGCTGAGGTCTAAATTTTCATTTCACCCTTCAATCATTACCCAGTATCAATAAGTAAATTGTACACTATGATATTCCAAGTATAACTTTGTAAACCTGTGAAGGATACTCTCTGAAAGTTATTTTATATATCTTTAATCCTTTTATTTATATCGTTTACTTATCGATGTACTCTGAGATGTCAATTGATTTGAGCGAATACGTATCTTTTTGAAAGTCTGATCAGATCAGCCTTTAAATGTGAATTTCTTTTACATTAAAGGTATAAGTATACAATGTTTATAGATAAACAGATCATTGATTGATGTATACGCATTATCTCACGGGTGAGATTCTTGCTACGTGATGGAGGGGTGGGGATATTTACAAGTGCCGTAAATTCGGGATTGATGAAACACACAAGTAATTAGACAATAGATGATAGGAAGTTAACATGGAATCAAAAGGGGGGGGGGAAATAATTGTAGTAGGATTACTGAATTATGTCGATAAAGCATTATAAGAAATGCGAGTCTATGTACACAGAAAATGACGCAAAAAGTGCATTGTGCCTGTTTACATAAGCAACTGAACAAAATCTGAGTGTTACACGAGTAAAAATGAGTGAATGTTTAGTTAGACTTTTTATCCACACACTTTTCCTCTTATAATTCTTATCGCGACTACTTCAGTCATCTAGAGAAAACAATGATAAACCATATGTGATGGTAGTCTATTGAAAACCGATTTGCAATTTAGAATGACATCGTTATTTTAACTGAATAATTACTCTCGATTAAATGCATCTAAATAGAAGTAGTAACTAGTGTTATTGCTTGTATTACACCGTTGTTGATTGGGCCCAATTGATCGGTCTTTGTATTGACATACGGGTTCCTGTGCGGATCCCTCGATATTGCCTGTGTTTTTAATTATATAGTAATGATGGATAGTGGCTAGCAGTGGAATCCAGGATGCGCATTTCGTCTTTTTCGAGACTCGGTCCCGAGTTCGAATTCCGGTGGGAACAACACTCGCTAGGAGGCAGGTACATCCAGCTGACGAGTCCCAAATAGAACGAAATGCGCATACTGGATTCCACTGCCAGCGACTATCCATCATTACTATATAAGAAGTAATAACTGTTTTACTTCAATCGCACCAGTACGCTTCCCTACTTTTGTCTAAAATATGTCTTGTATGGTACTTCCAATGCACTTCGCTCCACAGAAGAAGCAGTTGGATTTGTGAATACATATTGATTTGGAAAATTTGCTAATATTGTTGTTTATTCACATTCTGACAGATCATGAAAGAACTAGCTGAATTCCCTATACCATCATTAGCAGCTGTAAACGGTCCAGCTGTTGCTGCTGGTTGTCAGTTAGTTGCAGCTTGTGATCTAGCAATTTCAGCGAGATCTGCCATATTCTCTGCCAGTGGTATTAAGCTGGGGCTATTCTGCAGTACTCCTGGTGTATCTTTAGTACGAGCGATTGGAATAAGAGCTGCTAATGAATTATTATTGACTGGTAAGGAACCTAATAATTGCCTATCTTTTTGTCTTTTAGTGCATTGTTATTATTATTTTCAGACGTTTGTGGTAGAGTTTTATACGAATCACTCACCAGTTTCAGTAACTTGTTAGATTATACTCTTGAATCTACGACTCATTTATCTGAGCAGTCCAATTTCAGCCACTGGGTCATGAATTCATATCCCGCTAGACCTAACGAAGTTTGAGTATTCAAGTAATAGTATCATTAACCGTCGTCACGCAGTATGTGTATCTTATTGCCTAGAACATGCCCTTGGTTGTGACGTTATGTTGTTTTTATTCCTTTGTTACAACAATGTGTAAGAATATCTTTCGTTAGTTGTTCTGTGGAAACTAATATAATCGGTTGATGGCTGAAGTTGACGAGAACCCTTGGTCTTAACAGGTATCGAACTAGCATATTTCCAGCTACCGGTTAAATGCTCTACTTTCTAAGCTACATAACAATCGAATCATACTACAACCTAAGTTTCCTGTGCACTTGATTAATCCGGTCTCTTCAACATCAGTCTGTCTAACCAAGGATATCTCAGATAGTCTAATTGACTTTACGAATTATGTTCGTATGTCAAGTGTCTACAAATCTTCATGAATGAATTATTACTCTTAGCTTGATTGTGCATTACTAGTTATCAAAATAAAGTAGTGTTAGGTAGAGCTCACAATTTCCTTTTCATCTTATTGTTCAACCTTCGTTCATAGTCTATTTTAATTCTAAGAAAATAAAAGTCTAGTACTGGGGTATTCCAATTGGTCGTTACCAGATTCGTTTTAGGAAGCTTACTTGAAGTAAATAATCTTAATATTCTAGGACATTTAGTGTGGTTAAATACTTCACTATGGGACATTGACCTAGTGATTGGATATTCACTCTATTGCCTATTTGTATTTGAAGATTCGAGAGTAGAGCTTTAAGTTGTCATGCTGTAAGTTAAGCTGATAGCCTTATGACTATTAACTTATAGGATGAGTTGAGTTTGTTCAAACCTCCTGCTGTAGAAGTACATTCATATTCATTTAGCTTCACCTATAAATGTAAGTATTTCTCTCCTTTATCTTAGGTAAAAGTATCAGTGCTGATAGAGCCTATGAATTAGGTCTTGTTCATCGTGTAGTTGAAGATGATAAACTATATGATGCTTCGATTGAATTTGCCAAAGAAATTACTCAACACAGTAAAGATGCTATGCAATTAGGCTTAAAAACTCTGCACAAGCAGGTAAGCTGATTATAATATTTTCTAAGTTTTTTATTAGATTCTCTGTGGATCATTAATTTTCTTGTTTTTCTTTTTTAGCTGGTCAAGTTATGACTTAGAGGAGTCATTTGTACACACACTAGTTACTCATTGACTGACTGACGGACAAAATCAACGTACAACCTCACACATAAGTGCATCGGCTCAACCTACCACACTTCATAGAAGTATACAAAGAACAGGGGGATAGAAAAGGAGTGACATTAAAGTAGATAAAGTTGTGTGAGAGAAACAATCTGAAGATAAAGGTTAGTATGAATATTCCAGCTTTAGATGTCAGGGAGTGAACACATCTGCGCTATTGTGATCGATTTCCAGCCATGTCACCAAGGAATAGTCTTCAACCATTGGTTACTTTCGTCTCAGGGACCCCAACCAGGCAGTATGCATCTCCTCACACAACTCAAAGTAATAGTCAGAGATTTCACTGACTGGTTTGGCCACCCTGGACCCTTTTGCAACCTAATGTCATATCCCCTAGCATGCCACGTTGAGGTAGGGGGTGGCTCGGCATGTGCAGTACATGTCTAAGCCATCTCAGTCGACTACGTTTCACAACCTCGTCAATCGACTTCCCTGTCTTGCCTAGTGCCTTTCGCCTGACCTCAACATTTCTCACACGGTGATTCCACTACACGCGATCAGTGCTACGAAGACATCTATGATCAAACACTTGCAACCGCTTCATGTCGTCTACTTTCAACGGCTATGTCTCACAGCTGTACAACAGGACAGAACGGACTGAAGTGCATTATACCCGTCCTTTGATAGACAACCGGATATCTCGGTAGTCAGCGCCACAGGTGACGTAAGTTGGTAAGTGTTAAATGGGCTAATGCAACTCCGTAAGTAGGTAAAGTGATAGACACATTCCACTAGGAGTGGTTGCAGGCCAGTCCTGAAGCATCATCTTACATTTGACTAGTGGGAAATTCCTGCTAAACGCTTTTAGAATACTCTGTATTTCTTCAGCGTCTTCACCCATCAGGACAATATCGTTTGCATACCTCAATTCAAGCAGATTACCCTAAGAGAACAGATCAGTCTCTCAGTCTCAGTCAGACCTATATAGGGTTATGTCCATGAGTACGTCTATGACGAAGTTAAATAAGAACTTTGACAGATAACATCCCTGACAACAAGGTAGCGATTAACATGATGGTTGCATACATTAGAAGTTTGAAAACTGTTAGGCAAGTGAATCAAAATTGCACCAGTGTACAAAATGCTAAAATACATCTCATTACTTTTTTTATTCTTCACTGTGCACATAAAACATTGATAAAGCCAAGATAATAAGCTTTATCAAACAGAACATATATAGAAGATAGATATGATGATTGTACCCAAGTGATGTAAAGTAACTAGCTGAATACTCGACAAAATACTGTTTTCATCCTCGTAACTTGGTTTACGGACAGCACCGTAAAGATGAAATTGAATTAATTAACAGATAAAACTAACAAAGAGGAATATAAGAACTCAGGGAAGAGTTTACAGTTGTAATCTTTTCCATACTTAAGGTAATCTAAGCAACTATTACGAGCTTTGAAGTGTATTAAGTCAAGTCTTCATTCATTTTCGGTCAACTATCCGGGGACTTACTAACTCTACCGTATCCTCATCCGATCACCCTGAATATTCTCCCATTTCACCGTTCGTGTAAACACTACACTTCAGTTTGAAGAAGGAAATGATGTACGCATAGTTGTTTGTAGTTTAAGGTAATTTTATTTAGAACACAAAATTTGCACCAAGAAATGAGTTATAACATTTTACTACACTACTACGATCCATACTGTTGTGAATTTCTGACACTACTGGGTCATTCAGGCGAAAGTAGGTAAAGTTAAATTTGAAGCTTGGCCTCTTTTACTTGAAAAGCCGAATGCCTAAAGGCAGTGAACCAAACTTCCTGTTGATGTATACTCACTCATTGAAACACAGGTCGTTCTACTGTTTCAGCATATACCACCCGTAGATCAGTTATCAAACACCTGCAACCGTAGCAATATAGTTTTCTCTCAGTGGCCGTATTTCACAGTTCAACTGGTGGTAAATGAAATATCCTTTTAAAATTCCAACCACGTAGACTAAGCTTCCTCACACAGACAATCGATCAACCGACTCTACTTGACATTGATGAAATAGCAATCGTACCACAAATGAACGATGACACTAACAAAGTAGCAGTCAGATACCCACAGCCTTTGCAAATTCTGTAATACTAGAAGTTTATAAACTTCAGGATCAAAATTTGGCCTGATAGAGTTGAATAAGTTGAGTATTGAGTAAATGGATAATAAGTGAAAAATAGTTGTGAAATTTTAATGAAGTAGAAAAATTAAATTTCTGACATTGTGTGACATTGTGGAACTCGTTACTTCAGGGAATAAAGCATGTACTAGTTATCGACTGTTTTTTTTTTTAACAGTAAATAGTGGCGAATCAGATCACATTGTCTATACATTAGAATATGAGCATAAATGTCTTTATTATCGGTTTATTACTCTGGAGGTCATTTGTGATGTGAATGTGTAAGAAAAATACTATGCATGACAAATTTGGTTTGTTTGTGCATATACACCATCCAGGTTGGTTGGATGGTTAAGCCTTCCTTTCTGTTGAATGCGTTAAGTTTCAATATAATGTGAAATACCTCAGCTATTCTTTTTTTTTTTTAGTTTGAAAAACTTTTTAAAATAATTTTGATATTTTTTTTAATATCAATTTTGTGTCTTTAAGATAGATGATATTAACCGCGATTGCCGACTTGATTCGTAGATTCTCTAGTTCTACAAGATTATTTGGCGGTCGTTTTATATAACTTGCATGTTCTTTAGCCCGAATGATGATCTCATGTGATGATTCCCCCAATGTATTTGGTATTTCAATCGACACAACCTAATTTGTTGACGCAGTTCTGTATAGAGATAAAAGGAATTTTATCTTTTAAGTGTTGATTGTCTTGTAAAAAGGCTCTAATTTGGTGCTCCTTTAAAATTGTTTTTAGCTGTTCAGTTTTACCTTGGCGGAATGGTAGAACTACTGTGCCAATCCAGGAATCATTTGAATTTCCTCTTGTATCCCTCTGCTCATGTTTGTGAATCTCTTGAAGGTTTAGCGCTGCTAAAGTTTGACTTGCTCGTAATTTATTCAGTAGAATCACAAAGCTCATCACGAATAAAGATGACAGGCAAACAAAAGTAAGAAACATATCAAATGTATTACATTCTAATAACTAACCTAAGAATGTCATTCAAAAGATTCGGAAACATGAATAGAGGGATCCAAGAGAAAAGTCAAATGATGATTCTTGGATTAGCACAGTAGTTCCGCCATTCCGCCAAGGTATAACTGAAGAGCTACAAAGAATTTTAAGGAACCACCATTTACCGCTATAAAAACAGTCGATAACTAGTACATGCTTTTTCTACTTTTTTCTACTTCATTAAAATTTCACAACTATTTTTCACTTATTATCCATTTACTCAATACTCAACTTATTCAACTCTATCAGGCCAAATTTTGATCCTGAAGTTTATAAACTTCTAGTATTACAGAATTTGCAAAGGCTGTGGGTATCCGACTGCTACTTTGTTAGTGTCATCGTTCATTTGTGGTACGATTGCTATTTCATCAATGTCAAGTAGAGTCGGTTGATCGATTGTCTGTGTGAGGAAGCTTAGTCTACGTGGTTATTGGCTTTTGAATTGTCAGCAACATTTCAGTTCTTTTCCGTTTATCAGTTCTGTGCCCTCATTATTCTTTTTGCTGCGTATTGTAAAGTTTCTCTCTGTCATGTTTCTGGTTATAGTAACTTGAACTGATGTAATTTTGTATGAGGCTCTTTTATTATTCTATCTGTTATCAAACAATGCATATATGCTATCATTATAAGTGAAAACAAACGAAATTATCTTATTTCTTCCTCGTTTATAGGCTTCTTTACCATTAATGGAGGCTTATGCAGTAGCCACGGAGGCAATGGTACAAAATTTACAGCTTGATGATGCAAAACAGGGTATTCAATCATTTCTAGAGAGAAAAAAATGAACACCGATTTAATCGAATGATGACATTATTATCGATTTCATTACTTGTCCTCCTAAATCTACCATATTTCAACCAGATTTATTAAATTACCATCTTTTGGTTTTATTTTTTTTAATCTTTCAATACAAATTTATTTTCAGTCAGGTGAATAAAAATATAAACACTTCAATTTAAAATTCGTTTCGTTTTCTTTTCCATGTTTTTGTGAATGGAGTGTGTTTCTTCTTGTGGATCAAAAGTTTATATATATATATATATATATATATATATATATATATATATATATATATATATATATATATATATATATGGGGAACTAAATTACTCTTCAGTTAATCTCTTACTGTCAGGGACTTGTAACTTGACCTGATAGTCGACTTCACTGATCATGATGACACATTCTAGCCTAATCGGCTGATATTCGATTTCATGTCCGAAATATCGACAGGTGAGTAGTGGTGCCAGAAGTAGCTAATCTGGCATAAAAGTATTAGGGAATAATTTCAGGTTATTGGGCAATGTTTCTTTTGTACGTGTAACTGTCCCCTTGCTCTGTGATAAGGATGAGATGTATTCAACGGGTTTTGTATGCAGTTAAAGAACCATGTGAATTTTCGTGCTCTATACGATGAATCATGTCTTTTGAGTGAGGTCTAATGATACGAGCTGGCTTTGCAAACGTCAGTAGGCGGTTTCAAAATTGTGATCCACGAGTTAAAATTCAGCTTCGCAGACAGATGAGGCATAAATAAACTAACGGTGCACCATGCTTATCACATGTATTTCCAGCTCAGTAGATTCTCTGAAATGTAGACCCATTACAAATTTAGTATAGTAATCAACTTGAAGTTTGAAGTCTTTTATCTGCTTGAAATATACATACAAAAAAATGCTTATCACTCACTAACTGTATTATTGTCTTGATGATCAAATACCATCGAACCATTTTTGTGTTGTATGAACTGCATCCTGAACAGTTGAAATCGTTTCTCATGTTTACAGCGAAATAAAAGGCATGCATTCCTACTCATCTAGCGTAGTGTTTAAGGTCTAAGTATAGTACGTGTTGTATTTTCTAATAACTCAAAAACAGCTTTCATTATCTTCAATATGAGGGCACTACCTATTATATCAGTAACTCACTGGACGATTGTCTGGTATTTGAAGTGCTATCTACAGAATTCGAATCTCGAGAAAGCTGAGGAACATCTGAATTCCCTTCCTTATCACCTATTACCACACTCTGAAGGCTGTTTCGCACAACTTCAAAAAACAAGTCATAAAAAGATTATTTTAAGATTATGGTTTTTATGCTAATGTTATTGTTTTATTTTTCTACCTCCCTGTAAAACTGTTCTATAGGACGATTGTCATCAACTGGGATTTAAAACACAAACTTTTTCAGACGTTAAAACTTGTAAAGCAAACCACCATTCAGACTAATATTACGTAAATAATGAGGTAATAATAGCCTGACGTTTAGAATAGTGACATAAAGACAATCTGTCAATTCAAAGGTGAAAATGAATCCCCAAGAAAATGATGCTTCGAAGAAGAAAGCTGAAGAACTTGTTGGCAAGAAGAATACAGCAGCAGTTGGACAATCAGCAATTAACCGAGCCACTAAAGCTGTTCGTGATTATCTAGAATATGATTTTGATTGTAAGTTTTTTGATTATGATTATTATTATTCCTCTTTTAAACGGAGATGATAACTGAAGTTGAATTTATAACTGCTAGATGTGGATTGGGACAAGAGAAAATAGGTATTAATTGAAGCGAAGTTGAAATTTAGGTTCCAGTCGAGTTGATTTGAGAAATTGTCTAACCAATAACCTCTGGTCGTCGTAGTCCACTGACAACCCAGGTTTTCTCTAAAGCCAGCCGTAGTACTGGATTCATAGTATTTGTAAATACATAATTCAAAGAATAGTAAGTTACAAAAGGATTTCTGTTCAAGGTCAACGGAACGATAAAGATAAGTCTAGAAAAGGAATGACAAGATATTACCTGATTTTGCGGGACCATTTTGAAAATTTCCGAAAACTGGTCAATACCAGTATGAAAATAAATAAAATAGACTTTTCAGTTCGAAGATTTTTCCGAAGAAATACAAAGCAAATAAAAAAGCAACCTAGACACGGTACGGTGCGGTAATTTTAAGCCCATTGGGAAGAAAGTAGTTGCTTATACTTCGATTGAAGGCTTAGTTGAGGTTTACGCCTATGGATTACTAATGTTTCAGTTGCCTACAAATATCTTTTCCTCACACTTTTTTGACGATTAGGTCGGAGATTTTAGAATACCTTCAAGCACGTTTTAAAAGAAATCTTGAATGCGCTAGATGCTTAACGAGATCGACTTGCTTTCAGTCGACAAACTTGATAGTGTTCATGGGTGAGTTTGGCAAATGAGCGAGTGTACACATTGATGAAACTGCTGACATGAAAGATGATTCAAAGACTTGCAGCAAAGAATGTATTGTTCAAGGATTTGTGTAAGTGCTTATGCAGATGATGCCACCATACGTATAGCATATGAATAATGGAGAAGTCAGATGAAAATAAAACCCAAACCAAAGTGTCAATGTCACGAATTACAACGAAAACAAAAGATTATTTTTAAAGATTTAAAAAAAGACTGTCGATGTTTTGTAATTGGCACAACACAATACTGAGATAATTTAAATAATGATGGTATATAATATAATGTAAATTAATCAGTAGTTTGTAAAGTAATTCACTGGAACACTATAAAAAACGCCTAAACCAAATAAATCACACTGACCAGTCTCTTGAGAGGATTGTGTTATACTGCCTTAGTGTTATGTTTCAAAAACTGCTACCTGCTATGACCTTTAACGATGCACGGATATCGAGTGCCAGCCACCAACGTTCAACAAAACTCCTAGTCGTTTCTCGAACTGACTAATTAATGCAGAAGATAAGATCGGATGTGTAGAAACGTGTATTTGGGGTCGAAAGGCCGATAACCCAAAAACAAAGGGAAATACAACTAATATACCGATAATTCCCTGTTTAAAATAATCTTATTGTTGAGTGGTTGATCCACCGTCTATCTATCTAACTATAGAAGTGATAACGTAAAGTACATTTACATTGATCCCTCTCCTGACTGTTCATTTCTCTCTATCCCCATTTCACTTAGTTTACGTAATTCTGTCGATCAAGTCTGAAATGGCGTTTTACAGCTGAGAAATTTAATATGTGCTAATTGACATGAAACTTCTATTAATGACCCTTTATTGTCTGTTTCCATCTACTTAATATTCAAGGGCGTCACAACGGTGTGTATCTTTTGTCTAAGTGATTATTCATAAAATTCGAATAGAACTACAAGTTAGACAAAATGCTATAAAATTTTTGGGTTTGTGGGGATTTAGAGATTTTTCCAGTTGGTCTTCATCATGGACCGACATCAGTTGGAGGAACATTGAAAACCTGGGAGCCTTGGATAGCTATTTCGTCCTAGTATGGGACAACAGCGGACGCGCTGACACCACTATTGCAGAAGGTTTTGAAGGAAGGAAAGATACCATGCTGATTGGTTGGATGGAGGACCACCATGTCAAACTCCCGAAGAAAGGCGACCTAAGCCTTTGCAAGAACTGACGAGGAATCATGCTCCTATCCACCCCAAGCAAAATATTATGCCGCATCATCCTGGAGAGACTAAAAAGTGCTTCACATTCAAAATTACGACCGGAACAGGCTGGTTGGCTGGTTTCAGGAAGAACAAATCATATGCAGATCAAATTGCAACGCTACTCTGCAAATCATCATATAACAGAGCATAGAATGGCAGTCAACTCAACTCTACCTCAACTTCATCGATTTTGAAAAGGTGTCGACCGGGAAGTAATTTGGCAGCTGCTTCAATACTACTAAATACCAAAAACCTTTATCAACGTCATTCAACAGCTATATGAAAACGCCACATGTCAAGTCATTCACAATAGAAAGCTCAGTGACGCCTTTGAAGTGAGGACGGGAGTAAGATAAGGCTGCCTACTATCACCGATGATCTTCCTGGTTGTGGTCGACTGGATCATGCAGCAGACAACTATGAGGAGCGAGAAGATGGGCTTACGCTGGACCGGTGAAAAAATCCTAGAAGGTTTGATTTCATCGATGACCTATGCTTAATGTCGCACAAACTCGAAGATCTACAGGCAAAAACCGACAAGTTGACAGAAGACGTGGGGCAGCAAAGACTGGACTTCCTTCAGGTGAACGTAGAAAAGATAGAGGTGATGAAGATACCTAACCAACACTACCACCAACAACAAGCACCAATCACCATCAACGGGAGAAACCAAAAGGAATTATTCTCTTTCATCTACCTAGGCAACATCGTTTCAACTACAGGAGGCACAGGCACAGATGAAGATGTCAAAGCCAACCAGGATCGGAAAGACAGCAACACAGGCCTTCCTTCATTAACCTGAAATCAGTGTGAAGATCTACTGCACTTCATTCCACTGCATTCAGCATAGAGCGTGAACAACATCCGGATTTTCAACACTGATGTCAGTCAAGTAAGTCAGTGCTTCCATGTGATGACTGGGAGACTTGGCGCCTTACGAAAAGCATTTCCAACAAACTACAGACATTCATCAACAGGTGCCTACACTCGATACTGAAGATCAGATGGTCAGAAAGAATAAGCAACAAAAAACTCTGGGAACAAACTAACCAAGAGCCTTATCACCTAACAAGTATACAGAAGAAATTGGAGATGGATTGAACATACACTGAGAAGACCACTGTAATTGAGTCCATTATGATTGAATGGAGGGAGAGAGATTGATTATTGAATTTTTGTTCATCGAATCAACACCCAATACATGGAATAGGAATGGTACAACACCTATACCAGAGATATGGAAAATTTTGCTAACTATAGAAACAAAGAATATCATGTGATAGGAGTTTAAAAATCAGATGTCAAAAGTAGTATGATTACATTGGTATGATTATGAACAGTGATAATTTATGCTCAGAACACCATCAAGTAAATAATACTGTATCACTGTGTGTTATAAATCAAATAAACGTATCTAATATGAAAGTATTATATCTATCATTCGCATAAAATCTTGTTACAATAATTAGGGTTTAAAATGCAATTTAGACTTGATAAAAGTTGAATTTTGTAGCTCACAGTAGACCACCAAGTCAGTGGATTCTTTTCATGTTACGACTATATCGCATCTAAGTCTATCGATGTAGACTGTTTTCAAGGGATGAATCTAAACGGAACCTTGAGAATTATTTAAACAACCACTTTTACTGACTTAACATTAACTGCAAAACTCTCTTCCTAAAGGTTATGCAGTTATAATTCATTAGTCTAAGCAATCAATCACTTTTTTAACCTACTCACTCAAGTTCACTTGACTTACTTTGACATGGGGTAGCATTACAAATCCGTCCTACACTATACGTATCCTTCATAGCCTAATGCACCTTCAGTACCCAGCTCTATTGAGTTATAACCGGATAAAGTGGTGTTCACATGACACTGAGCTATACTCCTGATGTATTCAGTGTATTCAGGATTTATGATGTATTCATTTCTATTCCAGTTAACTCTCACTTCGATTGCTCTAAATTAAATGGATTCTTGTGTGTATTTGGCCAATGGTCTCAAGTTAAACCCTTGTAAATGTCAGATTGTTAATTTTAGCCTCAAGCGTAAACAAAACTTGTGTAAGCTGCTTAAATCTCATGATGCCTGCTGTGCATTGATGGTATTTCTGTAGAAAGTAAATCGAGTGTTAACTATCTTGGATTGAGTTATACACCCGTCTCATATCTTGTTGACTTGTAAAAAGGTCTTTCGTTTAACGTTCCACATAAAGAAACTGGAGGCTCTCTAGTATAACTTAATCTCCACTTTTACAGCTTATTAATTCCTGCATTTTACCTATTCTTCTCTATTGTTCCCCATTGGTCTTTACTGGTTTACTAAAAAAAGACTATGTTATATTGATTAGGGCTGGCTTTGAAAACTGTCAGTAGGGTGTGTGGTGTGCGTCTGGCCCTACTGATTAACACTGTAGTTAGCAGACATTTAGATTCTAGAAAACACTGAGCATCCACTTCATTCACAGCTTTTTCTTTGTATCTTCTCAGGGAAGACAAAAAGAAACTACATAAGACTACACACTCGTACAGCCAAGCGTAAGAATTCAACTGTACCTTACCTAGCAATCATATTATATGAGGAGAAAAGTGTTAGAGCAAAACTCATATATCAACTTTGTAACAGTTAAACAATCTCATTTAAATAATTCATCTAACCATGTAGAATTTGTTCGTTTTTAATATTCGTTACGTTACTTAAATGTTTATGATGGAACAGTTCGAGATGTTATAAAGGAGTATATACATCCATATATTTTGTTGTTGTTGCAATATATCATGCTGAGAATTACAATTTGTACCACGAATTGTTTGGAATAAAGTGTTTATTATTATTATTATTATTAGCAGTAGTAGTAGTAGTATTGGAGACGTGCTACTGAAGCCCTATGTTCCATTAGGAACCCAAGGGACAAATAATAATAACAATAATAATAATAATAATAATAATAATAATAATAATAATAATAATAATAATAATAATAATAGTAGTATTGGCGGTGTTGGTAGTAGTAGTACTCGATATCTCAGCATTTACAAGAATGCTAAAGAAATCTAGGTAAATTTCAATCTTGCTATCTGGCTATTAGTAGACCATAGTTTTATCATGTAGACTGTGTGATATTGTGTTCTAGCGAAAAATTGTGTTTGGATAAAGTTTTTTTTGACTCTATACTTATCTACTTCTAATTTATATTCTTAGGTCTACTTTCTGATGTCAATATATTAACGCGTATGAACCAAGCATCTATTCAACGCTATATGGAGTTGACTACGAGTACAAATGATATGACGAGAAAATTAATTGATATCAATAATCGTTGTTAGTTTACGAGGACTACTTTTTCTATTTATAATATATATGTATGTATATAACTGCCTATTAGTTAAATCAGAGTATTTGAGATTTCAATGCTAAATCTGTTTGGATATTTATCCACCTATCAATTAATTTTGGCATTCCCTAATATTCGACGTTGTCACCTTAAGTTTTCGCCTCCCCGTACACCGTTTGTTTCTTACGATATAAGTGTTTTACTTTCTTTACTTGTAATTCGCTTCTGTCTAATATAGAATATTAATTCTTGAGGGATATTTTTTTTTGTATGCCATTAGTGCTTCAGCAACTAAAATCTGTTGGAGAAAGTCTTTCACTTGTCAACCATACTCAACTTGATGTCTTACAGTTGTGCATGACATTCCTGATTAGATCTAAAGTTTGCTGATCACTTCAAATTTTAACTCTCCACTATCTACCTGTGCCAAGTATATTTCGATTTTCAACATGTCCGAGTGACTCTAAAAGACCAGTCTATCAATTGCTGAAATAACCCATTGGTCATTGCTAACTTTTTATTTATTACAAAACTACCTATTCGATTGAGACGCAGAAAGGTGATTAGTTATTTCAGTAGTTGGTAGGGTGACCTTTAGAGTAGTTTCATATGTCAATCATTTCACCTATTCAGTCAGTTGGATCTGGTTTGATAGGCCATTTGGAAAAGGAATTTTAATAGTGTAATTAGAAGACAAAGTTTATCTGAACAATGTGATGTATTTGTGCAATACATTTCGAACCATCTTATCCCCCACACACTTACTTGTCAAGTCAATATATATTAAATCGAGGAGTGGGAGAGGGGAATACAACAGTTAACACAATAGGGGATTAAATTTAAGAAAGGTGGGAACAAACAGGAAGTGATCCAGTTGACACTAATCTTGATAAGAAAACTATGTTTACCAAGGTAGGGTGTTCTCGCACCCTCAGTTTCGTCCAATCCAATGCAAGCGAGGTGTGGTAAACTGCCCGTTTAATAGGATATATCATGTCCGTACATCATATACAATGGCTAAAGATATCAAATTACTAACGAAAACACTTATAGAAAGCTGATACATAGTTGACATAGTTGGTCCTAATCTTGATGAAAAAACAACGTTTACCAGGGTAGGGGTAGTGTAAGAACAAATTGTTTTGTACACATAAAGGTGGTTTCAATTTGTGTATGACTATGGCTTCCGCAAATCTGAGAATATGTCCTTGACTGTTTCTATATAAGACTTTGAAAGCTGTTTGAACATTAACTTTGTGGCCTGTTTCTATGATATGTTTAGCTATAGATGAAGAGGGTCGTCTCCCTCCAGCGTTTATCGCTGTTTCACGCTCCACTTTTTTTTGAAGTCATTTAGGCACATGTTCTCCCACCCTCAGTTTCATGACTCGATTACTCCTCCCTTTGTATGTGTGACCACACACACACACACACACACACACACACACACATGTAAATTGGTAAACAAAATGGGATGTGACGTAATCATTGATGCAGTGTTTAGGTTTCTGGTGAAGCATGTTTTGTTTTTTCCCCAATGATAAGATTGACTGCGTAATATGTTTTCCTGATGGCTGATCTCAGCCTACGTCTCAAAATGATACTATGCAACTCCTCTCTGTTATGGTAGAGTGATATGGATGCTTTTCTTAGGAACCGTGTATAGAGTTGGCTTTGATGCTACTTGACCTCTACAACGGTTTATAAACTTCAATTTCAATAAACGAACAACTGCAATCTCAGCTCACTGTTATCTCAATTTGGAGATTCGTGGAGACTTAGTGATTTTTAAAGTTGGTATTCATCATGGACTGACATCAGTTGGAGTAATATTGGAAACCTGGGAGCACTGGACAGCTGTTTCATCCTAGCGTGGGACTCCTCAGTAGTGCGTACCCATAACTATTTTTTAGTTTTAATAGTCGTGGTTTTATTCAATTAAACGCTCAATGATTAATTAACAGTGCAAAGTTGTAATTTATTCTACTATCCAGTCATGAGATAATGTGAATGGTTCATAGAGTTTTTGACTATTTATATGTTTCCTGCGAAGAGATATCAACCAATTGATAATTTCCCCTGAATACAGTAAGTCATATGGATGAAAATCAGTTTCAGTCACCTAGTTGAGACGTTTTTCAACATTTGACCATCTGAGATAGCCGTAGTTTGGCAGACTAGTATTTATACTGGGTGACGATTGAAGGTGAAATGAAAATTTGGATCGCGGCCGGATTCGAATCAGGAACCACCCGGTTTCCGGCCCGATGGTCTACCATCTGAGCTACGAGATTCGACTACTGGCCAGAATTTTATTTCACCTTAATCACCAAAGGTTTTTCCCGGTCAGCAGTCAGACCTCGTAGCTCAGCCGGTAGAGCATCGGGCCGGAAGCCCAGTGGTCGCTGGTTCGAATCCGACCATGGTCCAAATTTTCATTTCACCTTCAATCACCACCCAGTATAAAATAAAGAATGTCTAACTGTATTGCATATAATGTTGCTTTGCATACTTATTCTCTTTTATTCTTAATTCTTTGTGGTTTTTTATCAACCTCCCAGTTGATTCATTACGTGATGCATTGAAGAAAATCGATAATTTCAACAATGAAATTGAACAATTGGAAAAGAAAGCGTCTGAAATAGACTTATTAACGAGACAACTAGGTAATTTTTGTCTTTCTTCCTAAACTAAATTGAAAATATTTAACAGATTAACAGAGAAATAATGTAACCTCTGCTATGGTTTTATATTGTGTTATTAGAAGTTAGTACATTGCCAAACCCGCCGCCTGCCCAGATGTTCAATCTTAGTAGAGGTAGGATTAGGTTGTAGGAAGGTGAGAGATGCTTAGACCAAGAAGTAGCATCAGTCTGTGAAGTCTTTCTACTGTTGGTAGAACCGTATAGAAAGGTGTAGACTACCTGACTGATGTCCTTGAGACAAAAGGAATCACTGGTTGAAGACGACTGATGAAATACCTGGGAATTATCATCACCCATCAACATAGGACCAGACATTACTGCGTAACCCTACGATTTGCCACAGCTCATATCAATACATCAAGTAAAAATGCAGTCAGGTAGGAGATGCAGAAAAGAAACTTCAGTCAAAAGAAATATTAAGTACGAAAAGTGAGAAAGGCAAAATGAGAAAATGGTGAGATTCGGTATAGCATTAAGATGGGGATAATGTGTTTATACATTTGCGCCACTGACATCGGTTCTGAGCCATATCACTTAGAGTTAGTCTCCAACCTCTGGTTCCTCTTTTCCCGCGGGCTCCAACCACCCAGTCTGCATCGCCCCATATGGTTCCCACATGCCTGGGAATCGGTCATACTGGTACTGATCTATTCACTGTTTGACGTCTTCTAAAGCATGAATCTTTTCACTGACCCTGATTTTAAAACTGTTTCTCCTTCGTCTACTCTGATATCAGTCCTTTTCTGTCTGTTTGTTCTTTTCATGTATGAACTTGTAGTGATACACTTGTTCGCTAGGTTCTACGTTGGTTTTGTCTCTTTCTGTCTGTCTGTCTGACATGCCGAAACAGATGAAGTTGAGTTGAATTCCGAACTAGGGAACTGCACTACCCAACTGTTTAGGCGATTTTAATGCAGGTCATAGGATTTTTTGTATTCGCCCATTCTCTATCATATTTGACGTTTATACTGAGACATGATACAAGAAATATTTTCCTCTAGGTTCTTGATCACATTGTGAGCAGTCAGTGCGGTGTTTTGACCTAGAATGACAAACTGGTATGGTATGATGGTCACTTGAATCGCAATTAGCAAGTTGGGTTAGCTCTTGTTCTGTCTGTCAGTTTAGGTCCACGCAAGTTGTGTAATCAGCAGCACGATAGATTTGATCAATCGGACACAATTGCCAGGACTCCCTAGATCTAGGTCTCGCGTTTGTTTATACTCGTCAGCAAGACGTAGCTCCAACCTCAAGCGAGTTTATGTCCCGTTGCTGTTGTCAGAGACGTTTCCTATGGAGGTATTGGGTCCTCTAGTGGCCTCTTGTAGGATTGAGTACTATGTGTTGTTGGTCACTGGCGAGTAACCGATTTCATCTTATTATCTAAAACTTAATGTTGACTCAACCTGATACATAAAAAAAACATACATATGATTTAAGTTTATTAATTTACTGACTGTTAAAGTTACATGGGAGAAAAAACTAGGAACTGCTTGGTTTGGGGTGAGGTACTACCTGATACACGCAGTTGCTGGTTAGACCCCTTGTCATTGGTCTTAGGTGCGTACTGCTGAGTAGTCCCAAACTAGTACGAAACAGCTGTCCAGTGCTCCTAGGTTTTCCGTAGTTCTTCACCTTATATCAGTCTGTGATGAATACTACCTGGAAATGCATATGCTTTATATCATCTGATTACTGTACGTCTATATTTCCAAACTTTCTGTATCTAAACTCTTGTTTCATTCAATATTCTATTCTTTTTTTTAATATTCTCTTATTGCAGGGTACTAAAATGTTGAGACTTTAACAGACGCAGTACTATGCCTATGCCCCTCCCCCCTTCCCATATTGTTCCAGTAGGCTAATCAGCTTGTCGAATAGTACTCCTCGGATGACTATCATATTAGTTCCTTTTCTACAGTTATTGAAAGGATATGGTGATTTCAGACGTAAGGGAAAGCAAATTACCTTGAAATAACTATCTGCTTTTCTTCTCAGTTGTCTCAGTTAATCTTTGCTACTTAGTTTTTCTTTTATTTACCTTTTAATAATCTAAAAATTTTTGATAATCATTTTCAAGACTGTCTTCATCAAGAGCTTACATCAAGCTTGGACAGCGTTGAGGATTACAGAGTGCTGGATAGATAGTACTACCTAATTTGGGTTTCCTTAGCAATGGGCAACCACCACCCTTCGGAAGATAGCCCCAAGGACCTTCAGCTTCTTTCGATGATCATGTTATCTTTCAGTTACCGTTTTAATATAGATTGGTTTGCATTTCTTAGATAAAACTGAAATAATGCTGTTCACTGAAGATAATTCTGATCAGGAAGTTCAGAGTTGATGAAGTAAAGGACCTTAACATCTTATTGTTTGATACTTGTAATTTCCCGTTGGTATACAGGGTCGAATTACTTGACCTCTGTTGGCAGATTGGCTCCTATGCGGATGCCTCGATACTTCCGGGTATTCATCATGCTGTGTTTGTCTTGGCGACTAGCAGTGGACATATGTTTCGTCCTGTTTGGGACTCGTCAGCTGGATTTGCCTGCACCCCAGTGAGTGATGATGTCCCCACTGGGGCATGAGAGCCACCTCTTGTACAATGGGTATTAGTTGTCGTTCGGTACTTGCTTTACAGGGTTGAAAAACAGGGTCGAACAGAGGTCGAGCAATTCGACCCTCTATAGCAACGGGAAATTACAAGTACCAAACGATAACTGATACACATTACACATTGTCTCTCGTGGCCTGATAGGCAGTGCTCTGTGGTTTGAAGTAATGAGTACTGGGTTGCTGGTACATCCATCTGACGAGTCTCAAGTCGGAAAGGATGCTCATCGTGGATTCCACTGCTGGTCACCAAGATGAATACAACTTTAACATATGTTCTGTATACATTCCTTTGAAATGACATTTTACTTTGTTTCAAAGTTGTGCATTGTATGCAAGTACTTTTGTACGATATTTAAGCAGCTACTTAACAACCTTGCACACTTTCAAATAGTGAATATCGGATTCATAGTTTACTCCGACTACTTTGACTTGAACAACCAGATAATATAGTATTCCCTCATGCAAAGCGCGTATCTGATAACCTGTAAGATGTTGAATTACCTTCCTACTAGTATTGCCATTTTTAGCAAGTAAGCTATTGCCATCTTCAGTTGATTTTGGTTTTGTCTTTTGCTGTTACGATAAGCTTAAGAAGCGGTCAATATTGTAGCAGTTACATTGCTTTGTCACTGGACAGTAACCAACTTCATGTTGTGTAGTATTAAGTGCTGATCGAATTCTGTCGATTATTTTGCAATGTCCCCACAAGACTAGGCAGCTCAGCATTTCGATGCACTGATGTTAGCTAAATAGAGGCAATCGTCAGGAAGCCGTGGACTTTCGTTTCCTACTTTTGGGCACACGTCAACAAGGTGTATCTTCAGCCTTGACGAAACTGATGTCCCGCCTGAGATTCGAACCTGCGTCACCCAATGCTGCAGTCAGAGACGTTACCACTAAGGTAATCGGGTCGTTTTTTTTACATATCTGCTTTTAGAATGATGACGTCATAGAAACTCTTCATCTGAGATAATCAAAATTCATGCCTTGGGATAAACTTCGGTATAGAGTAATGAGTTAACTACCGTGTTAGTGCAACTCAGCAGTTAGGCATAACTGTGATTTCTAGATCTTAAGCATCAGTTAATTTGTGAAACTTGTGATGCTAAGTATTTACCTAGGTTTAGGTAAGTGGTGGACTGAATTGTCAATACTACCACCTCTGTTTGTAAGACAAATATGTGTTGCCACTTTATTATCCCTAGGAAATAAAGAAAACAAGTCCTATCGTCTTATGCAAATCGAAAGTAGAGAAAGTACCCTAGTGTTTTATCGTAAATTCGCAAGCCACCTACTCCAAATTATTGTGTGTTTGTGTGTATAAATGTTACTTATTTTGAATTATTGGGCATTTGAGCTTAAAGACTGGTGTATTTATCGTAAGATGGTATTCTTTTTAGTTGGATTACCGCAGAAATGTAAAGATGTGTGCCACTGAAGAGTCCAGTTAAGGACGAAAATTTTGGTTATCAATACCATTCTATATTGTCCACTAGTTATTAAGTCATCAATTTGTAATAGAAAGTTACTACTTACTTTACTACTTATTTATTTATTCATTTCAGAGGATCGTTATAATAAACTGGAAACCATCAAATAATCGTTGAAATCTGTGTAGTGTTTATTATCACCGTTACTACTTTGTCAGCTCATCTGCTTTTGTATATTCAGTAGATGGAGAGATAGAAAAGGAATACGATTGTTTCCTTCTCTTCTAAACTATAACTTCACTTCCTCTTGATAGGTTCATTTGAAACATGTTTCTTTTGTGTTTCTATACAGTCTGTATTTGTGTACATATTTGGTAATTTAATCTTCAATGTAAATGAACTATTCCAGTTGTTCTTTCAACTTTCTGGCCTACTATCAATTTACTGTTATATAAAATTACCAACTAGTGTGTCCTATTCATCATTCATGACTATAATAAACAGCGCACACAATTGTAACATGATGATAACTAAATCTACTGAAGTAATAAAATGAGTTCATTGTAGTTGAGCCTATTGGACTCTGCTTTCAATTATCAATCACATTATTATTATTATTATTATTATTATTATTATTATTATTATTATTATTATTAGTCCCTTGGGTTCCTAGTGAAACATAGGGCTTCAGTAGCACGCCTCCAGTGACCTCTGTTCTCTGAGATCTTTTGAACCTGGTCCCACGACAGCCCACAACCTCTCATTTCCTCCTCGCACGACCTCCTCCATGTCACCCTTGGACGTCCAACTCGTCGCTTCCCATGGGGATTCCACTCGAGGGCCTGGCGTGTGATGTCCTCAGTCGGCCTTCTCAGTGCATGGCCAATCCATCTCCACTTCTTCCTGCATATTTGTTGCGTGATAGGTTCTTGGTTGGTTCGTTCCCAGAGTTCCTTGTTGCTTATTCTTTCTGGCCATCTGATCTTCAGTAGCGAGCGTAAGCAGTTGTTGATGAATGTCTGTAGTTTATTGGAAATGCCTTTCGTGACGCGCCAAGTCTCTGAACCATACAAGAGCACTGACTTGACGTTGGTGTTGAAAATCCGGATCTTGTTCCGCATGCTGAGTGCAGAAGATCTCCACACTGGTTTCAGGCTAATGAACACCTGTCTTGCTTTTCCGATTCTGACTTTGACGTCCTCGTCCGTCCCGCCTGTAGTTGAAACAGTGCTTCCTGGATAAGTGAAGGAGGTTACTTCCTTTAAGTTTCTACCGTTGACGGTGATTGGAGTTTGTTGTTGTTGTTGATGGTGGTGGTGCGGCATCTTCACCACTTCTGTCTTCTCTATATTCACCTGAAGTCCCGTCTTAGCTGCCTCTTCTATCAACTTGTTAGTTTTTGCCTGCAGATCTTCAAGTTTATGTGACATTAGGCACAAGTCATCGGCGAAATCCAAGTCTTCTAGGTTCTTTTCCGTCGTCCAGTGTATCCCCCTCTTCTCGCTGCCTACTGTTTGCTGCATGATCCAGTCCACCACAATCAGGAATATCATGGGGGATAGTAGGCAACCTTGTTTCACTCCTGTCTTCACTTCAAAAGTATCACTGAGCTTCCCATTGTGAATCACATATGAAGTATGAAATAATTCTGAAGAATGAAGACAGTATGAGGGTTATATCAGACAAGTTTAATGGTATCCACCCATCGATTATCTTAGCTAATGAGACAGGAAGTAACTATAATTTCGCATCCTAAATATCTTAATGATAAAGAAAATAGTTGAAGATATTGTGCTCAAATGATATTTTTAATCGAGAAACCAAAGTGATCGTGGTTCAGAATACTGTTTATTGTTTGGATGCATCAAAAAGGATAGAAATACTTGGAGACCTTAACCTATCAGGATACTGCGATGCTTTGAGTAACGTTCAAGAACACCAATCACGAAATATCAGATAAGTGGAAGCGAAAAATTAATCTGAAATCGCCAAGGTTATTGTAAATATATACGCACGTCCTTGTATTTTGTACTTATTTTAACCTTGCAATACATTATTGTCTTAAAACTCTTTCTTCATAAAAGTTAAAGGTGAAAACTGAAAGTTGTTGCTTAAGCGTATAATAAGTTATATCGGGAATAATGCGTGATGGATATTTGGGAGAAGAAAATGTTTTAGCTAAGCTAGGACAACAAGTTTAGCACAGTATGATGGAACTGTATTTCGTCGCCTCTTCAGCTGCATTATTATCATTATTATTATTATTTGTTTCTTAGGTTCCTAGTGGGACATAGGGCTTCAGTAGCACTTCTCCATTTCACTCTGTTCTCTCCAGTCTTTTGAACCTCACTCCACCACTTCCCACAAGCTTCATTTCCTTATACCGTCTCCTCCATCTCACCCTCACCTCGGACGCCTAACTCGTCGTTTCCCATGTGGATTCCACTCGACGGCCTGGTCTGGCCTGACGCGTGATGTCCTCAATCGGTCTTCTCAGTGTATGTCCAATGGAATGTACCTCCACTTTCTTCTACTGCATATTTGTTGTGAGATGGGTTGTTTGTTGGTTCGTTGTCAGCCAGCCAGCCAGATTCACTTCCTTCTTGCTTATTCTTATTATTCTGGACATCTGATCTCATCATCCGTATCTGGTGAGCGTAGATGGCAGCTGTTCATGTATGATGTCTGTAGTTTGTTGGAAATGCTTTTCGTAAGGCGCCAAGTTTCTGAACCATTATATGAAAACACTGGCTTGACATTACTGTTAAAAATCCGGATATATATATATATATATATATATATATATATATATATCTTATGAATTTATAGACTGTATGCAGTTGAAGAGAAGGTGCCGAAATACAGTTTCATCATACTCTACGAGAGAGAAAAATAAAATCCATATGATTCATTTATCAAGATGATGACATAATGGAAGAATTGATGTGGATTAGGAAGGTTTAAATGAAATAATGTAATGACTAAAATTGAAGTTATCTTGTGTTCATATGATCAGATTGTCATACTTGATACATGTGACCAGTCAAAATGGAATAGAAAGTATGTGATGAGTTAATAATGTAAATATAGGGTCAATATCTTTTGCATGGGTTAAATTCAAGTAGTAGACTGGTGAAGATATAATAGGAATTGATTGTGAATTTAGTTTTAAAAGGGGGTTTGATGGTGGTGAAAATATGGAGTTTTGGAAGAGATTACACTGAATGGTATCATCTCATCCAATGTCTGTTAAGACGGGTTTAGTCAAATACTAAAAAACTCACCAATTAGTGAAAGGACTTAAACAAGGGATTGAAACACATAAAAGAAGCTTTAATAATTATGCTCTACCGCTTAATTAAGAAATCCGTACGAACATATAAGAATGATAACAGTAATACGAACAATGGCAACAATACGAGTAGAAATAAGTTCCAAGCCTTAATTGTGTTACCATATAAGGAAGGTACATCAGAAAATTTACATTGAA